AACAAACGAGGAGCTGTGACAAACTGTTTCGTCGGAGTTTCACCGACTCATCAGGAGGCTGAACCCTCAACAGTCTGAAGAGTCCCCTCACTGATTACACTGTAAGTGATAATCCACCTTAACCAAAATCAAAGTAGACTATCACTCACCCACACCAGATGGAAAACTCTACAGATAACATTACATATATAAAAGAACAGAAAGTGTTGAGATCTGATGACAGCTTACCAGTATTGACCACCTTGCACACCGCCGGCGTCATAAAAATCTTCCCAGCCAAAGACGAGGTGCCCAACCTCATGCGCACAAATCCCAACGGTGGAGTACTCGCTCACCATCGCATATTTGTACACAGACAGAAGGTCTGTAGCAGGCAGTGGGCTAGAGATGATCCAGGAGTGGGACCAAACGTTCTGCACCTGCTCCGCCCGATCGTACTGCAACTCTGCAGCCTCGCCAGCATGGATGACAACCAGGCCGTCGACAAATCCAGCGTTTGCAAAACTCAATTCAGGTCCAAAGGGGACACCACTTTCCAACGCCACCTTCACAGCATCTTCAACCAGCTTCTGTGAGTTTGCCGGGTACGCGCCGAGGCCGGCTGCTCCATTTGTGTACGACGCGTAGCTCTCTGGCATTCGGAACCACCCGTGGACTTCCCCGTCCAAGGAAACTTTACCGAGGCTGGCGACATCGTAGTACTCTGCCACACTGCCTCTCGGAAGAACCCCCCTTGAGAAGAAAAGCTCCTCAAACAAGGGTTTTTGAATCTCTGCTTCCTGATCATTGAAGTCCACGAGCAAAATCATAATGCTCACCTGCATTGTGTGCCCCACACAGTGGCATGACAGCGCAGAACATGCTGTTAGAGCGCTTAGAAATGAAAAGATACAGTGTAACTGAGTAAAAAGTATGGCTGAACAAAACATGTACAACAGTACAAGGTAATTAAACCTAATAGATGGAGCCTCTCCCCAGGTGCTAGTGGTGTCTGCTCTTATCAGCACCACTAACACTGGTGGGGGCGAAAACCACTAGTACCTTTGGCGTCCGGTTTCGACAAGTTCTGGCCAGTACCCAAACTTTCAGGAGGCCGAGCCCGACGTTGATCAATCTGATCGGCGGCCGTCGTTTCGTTTCGGCCTCCTGAAAGGTCGGAGGC